TTCTTTGACGCATGCGCATTTGCATAAATGTCTACACACACACATACACACTACACACAATAAAAAACATAGGAAATAGCAAGAGTGATTACAATAGTTCCTATTGCATTACATGCATAGGAACTAAAAAAGTATAAAAGTTGATGTGAAAATATTAAGACTGTCTTTTCAGGTTTTAAAATGTATCATTGAAAATACACAATAAAATACACGCCATTGTGTCAGGATTCAATATTTCAACATTAATTATGTCATCATACATTATAAAAGCAGTATTATATAGAATTATACAAATTTATTTAAAAAAAACTGGAAAATATAAGATAAAAATGATATAAAATGGAATACAGGTATATTGACAATAAAATAAAGGCAGTGGCTATTATTACACCAGTCTTAAAACAAATTCAAAATCAGATTGGACATTAGTGTAGGCCTGGATTACAATAACATCCAATACTTCAAAATTGGGAATGTACTTATTAGACTGGTGTAAACAATACAATAGTCTCTGCCTATAATAATATGTAATATTGACTATTTTTTTTAGACTAAAAATAATGTACCCAATATTTTTCGTTCTATAGGTAAATAGGCCTAATAAGTCTGAAAAACATTTAAGAAAATAAAACTAGAAAATACCAGTTAGGAAGGGAAGCTATTGGCAACATGATGATAAATAGCTTCCTACGTCCTTGACAAAGCCAAAAATAATTTACAAATTGACTGTAGTGTTGGGGTTTTGTTGATGTCCATCGCACGCAGATGTTTTTATTTCTAAATGACCTAGATTAGTTTCATTGGATTACAATCTAAAATAATCGGTATGGATGAAGGATTTGTCTTAATTAATTTTAATACCAGTCATTAAATATCCGGTACTGAAATATGTGTTGGATATATTATATGTTTTGTTGAAAAATAAAGATGTTTATAGCAAAATAATTTCTACAAAGAGGGTACATCAACATATAAACAAATAATACAGCGCAAATCACATGCTTCTACATTAAAGTAAATGCATTCATTGTGAAGCATACTGTAAATCTGACCCCCAGTACATCACACCATGTCCAAATATGGAAAAAGATTTGATGTTGGCACTCCATAAATTTACAACCTAACATTTCAACTGTAAGTAAGAAGGATTTCCTGCAATTATTATTTTAAATAATAATATTAATGGACATTGTTAGGGTCATTTTAATTTTTTTGCATTATTTCGCATTCTTGTTACTAAGGCAAACACGCATATGGTTTATACGCGCGTGCGTAGAGAATCATACAAAAGTATCTTTCAGTTCGGTTTTAAGATTCATCTGTTTTATCGATCCCAAGCCGAGCACACCTTGTAAGTAGACTTAATTATATGATATATAAACATAACTTAATTATAATATAATTTGGAAGTTTAGATGATTGTTTTAGCATGTATTTTTAATATATAGGCCTTGCATGCCATTATGGGATATGAGGACCAATTCGTAAGTCTTATTAATTGTTAATATGATTAGTTATTGATTGATTGATGATTATCGTTATTTATTATCTATTGTTACTATTTTGTAGTTTAATCGTGACGTTGGTTAGACTGTATATTGTTACGTTGTTAGACGGCGTATCATATGTACTGTACTGTTGGTTGGAAATGGTATCTTTTGTACCGTTATATTGGAAGAAATAAAGTTAACCAGCAACGCATTGAAAACATCGGTCTTAGTGTTTTATTGGGGTCGAAATAGACGAAACAGATATGGTCTTGATGAACATAATAAAATATATGAAAAGAAGATAGAAGATTTTATTGATTATTTGGGTCACGAAGTGAAGTTTATTAACAACCTTGATGATATACAATTAGGTAAACAGATAATTGAGGATCAAGTGGACAATGCTTAGACATTGAAATAGAGATTCTGTAACTGTTATGTATAAACCTGACAATTACTATAGCAAGCTACTGTTATTACCCAAATATGGATAGAGAAGGCCTTATGATGTATTATTAGACCAAATACCAATTTGTTGTACACAGTGGACTGGTTTTGTGTGTTTGGTGTTAGAGATTATGCTAGATAAAATAACCTTAATTTATAATTAACTAATTGTTATGCAATGTTTGACCATTCAGGAAATAATTCCTCAGCATTACATTCCAGAGCACTTTTCAATGCATCTGCATTTGTAATAATTTGTATGCTGATGGTATAACAAAAATCAATGCAAAATAATTGACCTGTATCGCTGCACATAACAGTATGACCCAGGTGTAAATAATTGTATAATATAACTAAATATACCTACAGTAGATATAATGGATATAAACCCTCATAAAAATTCAAATCAATTGAGTTTCTTTCAGCTACAAATACCATTAAATGCCTTTATTATTTTACCATTTTAGACTAGATGCTAATCAATTTTCAACATGGCAAATTAATCTATATTCTGTGCCACTTGTTTCTTCTGTGGGCTGGGGGTACGTAAAATGATATAGTTGTGAGTGATAACTAACGGAGCCCCTTTATGTACTGTATATCAAGGGTAAATATCTACTTTATAACAATAGAATCAACACAATCAGATCTGTTGTAAATTATATCAATAATTGCAATCATATCTTTCACGGTGCACCCAAAATAATAATAAATATAAAAAAATATTATTCAAACTAAAGCAAACATGAGAGTTGAAATTGAATACTCAAGTAATAATGATGAAACAACAATTAAGGTAGATTCAAGCCAAATCCAAATTCGGTTCATAGAACGTTTTTGATGCGTGTCTTAGTAC